AGCCTAGCCCTGGGCACTTCTGATAGCAGTGTGACTGCTTGATGTCTCCTGAGTTGAGCCATGACTACTATATCGTTAAGCCATGAGTACCATAGCCAATTGAATCTGGGGCTTTGGGTGGATGGAGGAGCAGAGGGAGGCAATGAAGCTTCCTTTCTCAGAGGGAAGTAGTCACAAGACTTCTAAACTGCTATGCCACAATACTAGACCTGATTTATTTACTTATTTATTTTAAAGATTCATTTATTTATTTGAAAGGCAGAGTTACAGAGAGGCAGAGGGAGAGAGAGAAAGAGAGAGAGAGAGAGACTTTTGTCTGCTGCTTCCCTCCCTAACTGGCCTCAATGGCCAGAGCTGGGTTGATCTGAAGCCAGAAACCTGGAGCTTCTTCCTGTGTCCCACATCGGTGCAGTGGCACAAGGACTTGAACCATTTTCCTCTGCTTTCCCAGGCTATAGAAGTGAGCTAGATTGGGAATAGAGCATCCAGGACTTGAACTGGCGTCCATATGGGATACTGGTGCTGCAGGCTGCGGCTTTACCCACTACTCCACGGTGCCGGCCCCCCTGGTTTTTTTCTTGAGGGAGTGTCATTTGTGGCAGAGAGGGTAATGGCAACTGGGGTCTATGTGGCTTGATGCAGTGCTATGGAAACACAGAATGACATCATCACACAGAACTGTGTGAATATTCTAGGGCTTTAGTTCTTAGAGTTTGATTAAGAACTATTGTCCTGGCAATAGAGTGAGTAAGAAAGAACTGAGTAAAACAGACTTGCTGTGTTATCTCCTGGAGTATATTTGAATTGATTCCTACCTTCTACTTTCAAAAATTCCCCTTTTTCTCAGTTTTTCTATTGGTTGCTTTCTCCTTTGGTTTTCTTCAGGATTGACTGAATCCTGTAGCTGTCATTGTGTTTTTCCCCTTATTCAACAGTTTTTCTCTACTCATTTGGAAATTATACTCTTTATGACTTTTCAATGTTTATTGTTGAACATTCATGATACACAGGTGACTTAAGGTTAGATAACATGATTATTCCTCTCATAGTATGTGAATAATTACTTCAGGCAACTTTGTTAATTGAACACCAATAAAATTTTATACTAATGTTATCTTGCTTGTGTTTAAATTACATGAATTTGACATATTCATATATTTTTTATTCAGGCTACAAACTTTGCATTTTTTTGGCTATTCATCCTTGCTTGAAAGAGCAGCCTACTGGGGCCATTTTTCATTTTCTTTATATATATCCTTAAAAGTTCTTTTAGGTTTCTCAACAATTTATTTATTTGAAAGGCAGGGGTACAAAAGAAAGAGAGAGAGGAAGAGAGAGGGAGAGTAAACAAGGGAAAGAGAAAAAAAGAGAGAGAAAGAGAAATATTTCTCCCATTTTTGGTTCACTGTCTAAATGGGGTGGGTCTGGGCCAGTCTTAAGCCAGGAGCCAGGATATAATCCATTCTCTCACGTGGGTGACATGGACTCAACCACTTGAACGATCCATTACCCGATGCTTCCTAGGGTGCACATTTGCAGGAAGCTGGAGTCAGAAGTGAGCCAGAATGCAAATCCAGGCACTCAGATATGTGATGCAGGTGTCCCAAAAGTCTTCTTAACTGCTGGGCCAAATGTCCACTCCCGTCTTTTAGGTTTCTGTTTTCTCTGTGTTTATAAGTGAATTATCTTTCTTTTGTCTTTATTTTGAGCAATAATTTTTATAGATCTCACAAGTGCAGATTGACAATTATTTTTTCTTAATGCTTTGAGTAAGATTCCATTATCTTCACCCTTTCCTTTTTGCTCAGTTGCACTATGCCATCATTCTCTCCTTTCCTTCTAGGTGATTTATCCTTTCTCTGTAACTCCTTCATGATTTATTTTCTTCTTTTATTTTCTAAAGTTTTATGAAGCATAGATTCTTTTGATCCTTCTTGTCTATGACATGTTGGGTTATCTGTGTTGGTGAATTTAATATTTATGATTTCTAAAATATTCATAATCTATTATTTCTTTAAAAATCACAGTTCTCAATTCATTCCATTTTCTTCTTTTGGGGGATTAAATCAGACATAACTGAGATCTTCTCACTTTATCTTCCAAATCTATTTACCCTATTTTATATTTTTCCATATCTTAATTTCTTTTTACTGCATTTTGGAAAAATACTTCAGAAATATTATCTTGTTCTTTTAATCACTTCAATAATATCAGTTTTGTCATTTAATGCACTCTTGAACATACTATTCCATCAATTTATTTAATTTTTGGGACAATTTTAGATTATTATTAATTAATTTTATCTGACAGAATGAGGGACATAATGGAGGAGATCTCGCATCTTCTGGTTCCCCCTAAATGCCTATAATAGCTGGTTGTGGGCCAGGTTAAAGCCAGGAGTCCAGAACTATATCCAGGCTTCCCATATATGTGGCAGGGACATCCAAATACTTGAACCGTCACTTCCGGATCCCAGAGTGCACCTTAACAGGAAGCTGGGATTGGGAGTGGAGCTGGGACTCCAACCCAGGGTCTCTGATACAGGATGCAGGCATCGTGACTCAGTATCTTTTGGTGTTACATCTAAGAAATCATCATCACATCAACAGTCACAAAACTCTTTTTTTTTTTTTTTTTTTGACAGGCAGAGTGGACAGTGAGAGAGAGAGAGAGAGAAAGGTCTTCCTTTGCCATTGGTTCACCCTCCAATGGCCGCCGCAGCCTGTGTGCTGCGGCCGGCCCACCGCGCTGATCCGAAGGCAGGAGCCAGGTGCTTCTCCTGGTCTCCCATGGGGTGCAGGGCCCAAGCACCTGGGCCATCCTCCACTGCCTTCCCGGGCCACAGCAGAGAGCTGGCCTGGAAGAGGGGCAACCGGGACAGAATCCGGTGCCCCGACGGGACTAGAACCCGGTGTGCCAGCGCCGCAAGGCGGAGGATTAGCCTAGTGAACCGCGGTGCTGGCCTAATAGTCACAAAACTTTATCCGTTTATCTTCTTCTATGAGTTTTATAGCTTAAGATCTTATACTTAGATATTTAACTTATAATGAATTAATGTTTGCATCTTGTATAAGCTAATTGTCCAATTTCTTCATTTTGTGTGTGGGTATCCAGTTTTGTTAACATCACTTGTGGAAGTGTATGTTCTTTCCTCATTATTTTTATTTCTCTGATATCTATTTGATTTAAAAAAGATAACTACATATGAATTAGTAATTACTGACAGTTCTCAACTCTGATGCAATCTCTTATGGCTTATGAATGGTTTATTTTCATTAACTATAACACATTAAACATAAGCATTTAAAATTGCCTTTCTAATAGTTTCAGCACTGGAGTCATGTCTAAGTTCAGTTCTGTTGATTTTTAGTTTATTGATAGAGTGCTATTGATGGAGTGACATGTTCAGAAGAATGATATAAGCTAGAGTGAGTAATATGTTGTTTTTTTGTCTGAAAATGGACATGCTTGTCATTTTGCTACATTTATGGTGTGGGGGCGTGAGTTAATCTAGTCACAAGTTAACTGGGTTTGTGTTTTGCTGTTGTCCCAATGGACTTCAAATTCTTCTAGCATTATTTTTATAGGATGTGCTGGTTCACCAGAATGTTTTCATTAACGTCTGCTCTTGCAGGTGGTGGTGTTTCCTTGGTGGTGTGTCCTAAGGGGATCAACACCATGCCCTTGTTTCTCCTCTAGCAGTGCACTGCTCTGGTGACCTGATTGCTACCCTGCTTGGGAGAGAGGGTAGGGGTATTACCTTTTGTTCAGATTCAGTGCTGTTTTTAGGTAGACCACTTGCTTTCAGCTCCTAGTGTTGGAATATAAATGTACTTTCCTTTATCCTAGCACATTTGGATTTCAATAGTCTAGTATAAGGCTGCTTTCTTTCCTTTTTTTTTTTGACAGTCAGAGTTAGACAGAGAGAGAGAGAGAAAGAAAGGTCTTCCTTTTTCCATTGGTTCACCCCCCAAATGGCCACTACGGCTGGCGTGCTGCGCTGATCTGAAGCCAGGAGCCAAGTGCTTATCCTGGTCTCCCATGTGGGTACGGCACCCAAGCACTTGGGCCATTCTCCACTGCAGAGAGTTGGACTGGAAGAGGAGCAACCAGGATAGAATCTGGCGCCTGACCAGGACTAGAACCCGGGGTACTGGCGCCGCAGGCGGAGGATTAGCCTAGTGAGCTGCGGCACCAGCCCAAGGCTACTTTCTTACCCCTTTCCTTTTTTTTTTTTTTTTTCTTTCAGGTAGCAGCAGTGGGTTTTTACCTGTGATTTTTAAGAATAATGAAGACTTGGCATTCATTTATAATGTAACACAAGGCAAGGGTAGGGCATTATGAAAAATAAAATGGAGGAACTAGTGCTGAGTCACAGATTTGATGGTGGTGGGGTGATGTGAGAGATGTGGCAGCAGAAGAAAATATACTAGGGAATAATCCAAAATGCCAAGTGACAAAAGTGAGTGGAGACATGAGAACATCAGGTAGTGTAGTGGGGAATTGTTTAATTTCACACATTTCTCTCTTTTTTTATTATTCATTTGAGAGGCAGAGTTACAGGCAGAGAGAGGGAGAGACGGAGAGAAATGTCTTCCATCCAGTGGTTCACTCCCCAAATGGCTGCAAAGGCTGGAGCTGAGCTGATCTGAAGCCAGGAGCCAGGAGCTGCTTCTGGGTCTCCCACATGGGTACAGAAGCCCAAGCACTTGGGCCATCTTCTACTTCTTTCCCAGGCCATAGCAGAGAGATGGATTGGAACAGGAGCAGCTGGACATGAAGTGGTGCCCACATGGGTTGCTGGTGTTGCCACGGTGCTGGCGCCAATCACACATTTCTTTTATGAATGAACAAAAAAATCCCCAGTGTCTAGCTGAATTGTCAATGCCACATATGGCTTGTTCCATAGCAGGCTAAAAAAGGATGTTAAGCAGCATGGAAATTGGTGACACAGAGAGAATCTTGGAGCCAGATAACAGTCAGATAACAGCACAGGGGAAATGAGAGACTGAGTAGGAGGCTGAGCATTTTGGGAAGGAGCAGCTGTTCCTTGTCACAGAGAGGCGAGGTTTGCCTGTTGGTTGCAAGAGGAAGTCAGAATAGAGATATTGTGGGGTAGGTTTGCTTAGAACAGAAATCAAAGATCAACTTTTTTGAGAGAAAGAAACAACATCTGAAATGCTGTTTCTGCTGCTTGCATTCCTGGTTGCTCTCCTCCCAGGTGGGGACACAGTTGGTAAGGACTCTGGCAACAGCCCAGTTGGGTAAGAGGTTGTGTATGTCGGGGGGATGGTGGTTTCCTCAGCATATACTTGGGTAGTGTGAGATTCAGGCTGGTTCCATGGTGGGTGTTGCTGACTCTAGGTCCCTGTGCTGTTCTGAATGTGTTATAAATGAGGGAATCCCAAAGCAGGCAAATGTGTGCTAAGGTAGCAATGATTCCCCTTTTCTCCAGTTTCTGAGTTTTCCCCAGGCAGGCATCTTTTTTTCTTTATTTTCTTTTCTTCTCAGTGATCTTTCCCCCTCCATATTCTTTTTTTTTTTTTTTTTTTTTTTTTTTTTGCCACAGAGTTCAAGAAGCCTATCTCTTTTCATGTCATCCAGATATCATCATTTTACAACCGTTCCTGGGCAGAGAACTTGTTCTCAGGCTGGTTGGGTGAGCTGGAGATTTATCGCTGGGATACAGAGTCTGGCAGCTTTGTTTTCCTAAGGTCTTGGTCCAAGGGCAACTTCAGCAGCAAGGAGTGGATGGACTTGGGAGAGTTTCTTCATACACATCTCATCAGTTTTACTCAGGAAACTTGGAAGTATGCCCATCAATTGCAGGCGGAATGTGAGTTAAGTTTCCTCAACAGAGAGTGGGGAGGTGGATGGGTGGAAGTGTCTCATAACTTTATTATTCCTCTAGGCTCCTAACTTCTCTCTCTTCTGAATATTACTCTACTGTCCCTACAATAAAACTGCAGTCACCCATTTCTGGGCAAGGGATTTTTTTCAGTTGCTGGTTCTTCAAAACCATCAAGTCTTCTTCTATTTATGATCTCCTCTCTCATTGACCACTGAGTTGTCCTTCATTATATCCCCTTAGAGGTGTCCTGTGTTCACACTTTTCCCTGGCTTTCAGCAAAGCACCCTCAGCTTCCTCACTCTTTTTTTTTTTTAAGATTTATTCATTTATTTGAAAGAGTTACACACAGAAAGAAGGAGAGACACAGAGAGAGAGGTCTTCAATCTACTAGTTCACTCCCCAGATGGCCACAATGGCAGGAGTTATGCTGATCCAAAGCCACACTGATCCGAAGCCAGGAGCCAGGAGCTTCCTCTGCATCTTCCCACGTGGGTGCATGGTCCCAAGGACTTGGGCCATCTTCTACTGCTTACCCAGGCCATAGCAAAGAGCTGGATTGGAAGTGGGGCAGCTGGGACTCAAACCAGCGCCCATATGGGATGCTGGCACCGCAGGCGGTGGCTTTACCTACAGTGCCACAGCACTGGCCCCTGTTTCCTTACTCTTGATTGATTCCTTGAAGTGATTTTCTTCTGTATTCTGGCTCTTCAACTGTCTCTGTATATTCATTGTGATCTATTGCATTCCACTCACTCTAGATTGTTATAACTTCAACTTTCTCAGACTAAGACCTTCCTTCCTTATTCACACTATTCACAACATCTCTTTGAACAATTTCCCCTACTGCTCATGACATTCTTTTCTTTTTCTACCTCTTACTCAGCAATTCCCCTTTCTCTGCACCTCTGATCTAAGCAAATTTGTCTCAATTCCTCAAACTTCCAAACACCTCCCTTCTGTCTATACTGTCTTTTGCCTCTGCTCTTTTTTTATTGATTTTTTTTCTTCTTTATTCCTCTAATTCATCACCCTCTTTCCCAGATCCTTTTGTGTTGCAAGTGGCAGCAGGCTGTGAGCTGCACTCTGGGGAGGCCTCAGTAGGCTTTGTACAGGAAGCTTATCAAGGCACAGATCTTCTGAGGTTTCAGAATAATTCGTGGCTGCCGTCACCAGAGGGTGGAAGTAAGGCCCAGGACGTCTGCAGACTACTCAACAAGTATGAAGGCCTCAAGGAAAGAGTACACTGGCTCCTCAGTGACACCTGCCCACGTTTTGTCTTGGGACTTCTTGATGCAGGCAAGGCTGATCTGCAGCGACAAGGTGGGTTGCACATCCTACTGCCAAAAAACTATGCTTTGGAAAATCAAACTTTGCTACAATCGCCTTCAAATTTAGGGTCAGAAAGTCCCCTTACCTTGCCCCTAGAAGTGATAAAGACGTGTCTAACTGATGCGGAATCTGGACCTGTAAGGGTGTTAGAGTCCTTGTCTGAATAACTTTCCCATCTTCTGCAGTGAGGCCTGAGGCCTGGCTGTCCAGTGGCCCCCGTCCTGGGCCTGGCCGTCTGTTGCTGGTGTGCCGTGTCTCTGGCTTCTACCCAAAGCCTGTGCAGGTGATGTGGATGCGGGGTAACCAGGAGCAGCCAGGCACCGAGCGAAGTGATATCCTGCCCAATGCTGATGGGACGTGGTATCTCCGAGTTACCCTGGACGTGGAGGCTGGGGACGCGGCTGGCCTGTCCTGTCGGGTGACGCACAGCAGTCTAGGAGGCCAGGACATCGTCCTCTACTGGGGTGAGGAAGAACTGGGGCCCAGGCTGGAAATAGGAAGAGGTGGTCCTCAAATGCAGCTAGAGGGACAGCTGAAAATTTTGAGACTTTTGTGATTCCAGATCTAACTTGAATAAAACTAATCCACAGAATAGAAGGGAAAATGAGGGATGAGGATATAAAAGAGAATATTGGGGGTTAGAGGAAGGATCATCTTTGAGGAACGGTGAGTAAGAAATAATAAGAAAGGAGAAAGATGATGTAGATAACTCAACTGAACAGAACGCAGTGGTTCACAGTGGAGCAGGGAGTGGGTGGGGTACAACAGGGGTGGATTTTCAGTAATATCCCTGGTGTCTGCCCAAATCCACAGAACATCACACCTCTATCGGCTTCATCCTCCTGACAGTAATAGTGCTCCTGGTTCTTCTGGCAGGCCTTGCAATTTGGTTTGGGAAGCGATGGTGAGTTCTTGGTACTCATCTCTTGTACCCTCCCACTGTTCCCTCACTGAGCTTCCTCTTTGTGAAAATTCTCTCCCCAGTTCCCCTTCTCCTCTCATTCCTCTACCCTTGTCCTCCTCAAGTCTCACTTCCACCCTATGCCAAGTGACTTCCGTCTCTGCTCTCCATGATTCATTTTAGGACACATAACTGCTCTCCTTGCACTGTTGCCTCTTTGAAATGAGAACCTAGCAACCCAGCAACTTGGAGTATACCTGAACACAACATGACAATGACGTCTTTAATTCCCTCTATAAAACTTTTATTGTTGTTTATTTATGTTTAATGATCAGTTTTCAATACCAGATGTAATGTAGCTGGATTTGTTGTTCTGACCTGGGTTCTGGAATTTTAAAATTCACGTTTTAGCTCTTAGTAGAATGGTTCTTAGCAGCCTTCTCCTGTTCAGATGCTAGTGGGTCATCAGGCTTATTTCAGATGTCACTTCCTCCAGAAGTCCTTCCCTGATTCTCCAGTGGGAAGCAGTTTCTCCATAGTCTGAGCTCCTGCCGCTTCCACAATGTATTTTGCTATCTGTACTCCTTACACTTTATCGACTTTTTTGCAAGTATGTACGTAATTTCCCCTACTACCTTTACAACTAAAGTTCAGCTTTTAAATATATATATATATATATATATATATATATCCAGGGTGAAGTGCCTTGTCTGCATTTCACTCATTAAAATATGTCAAATTTGGGGCTGGCTCCGTGGCATAGCAGGTGAAGCCACTGCCTACAGTGCTGGCATCCCATGTGGTCCAGCTCTCTGCTATGGTCTGCAAAAGCAGTAGAAGATGTCCCAGGTCCTTGGGACCCTGCCCCTGCATGGGAGCCTAGAAGAAGCGCCTGGCTCCTGGGTTCGGATCTGCTCAGCTCTGGCCATTGAGGCCATCTGGGGAGTGAACCAATGGTTGGAAGACCCCCGACCCTGCCTCGCCTCTGCCTTTCTATAACTCTGACTTTCAAATAAATAAATAAATCATTAAAAAATGTTAAATTTATGGTAAATCTATAGTCATTTCTATTATTTTTTTTACTGACCTCTTTGTAGTTGTTGAAACATTTTATGTTCCTGTTGTTAAAAACCTTCTCATTTGGCCAAGAAGCTTGATACTTTCCTGATTATATTTCTTCTGAACTTCCAAGAAGAAACACAATTCTGCCTTTTACTGTTTGTGTTATTATATATAGAGAATAAAAAAAATGTTCCAAGTATTCTAAACATGAATAGCAAGACAAATCGTGTCTCCTTGCTGTTAGTGTGGTTCAAGGACAGGCAGCAGAGATGCAGGGTAGCGTGGGGAGGGCCTCTCTGGCATGAATGGGCGCTGCGCATGACTCCAGCCAGAGTCCAGGTTGATGGCAGTGATGCTGCGAGATACAGGGACAGCACATCCCGTCATGGCCATAGGTTGGGCTGGGCTGCTGAAGGTCTCAGCCATGATCTGGGTCATCCTTTCTATGTTGGCCTTGGGGTTCAGGGGGGTCCCTGTCAGCAGCACAGGGTGTTTCTCAAGGATCATGTGTGGTTTGGTGTAGAAGATGTGGTACCCAGGTTCCAAGATCGCAGAGTAGCGACAGGACGATCTGACTCATGTGGGGCAAAATTAATATTTCAAAAAGGGAGAAACTGCATGCCTAAGATAAAGCTGTGGGAAATCCACAATGGGAAAAATACACAGTCCAGGTCCTTCAACAAAAAAGCAAATAAGAATAAACAACAACAACAACAAGCAGCAGCAGAGGCTTGGACCCAGGGAGGAGAATGCTGGCCCTGGCAGACCAGGTGAGGGGGGAATCTGTGGGCCCGCAGCGCTGTGGACAGCAGTGGGAGCAGGAGCTCCATGAACTGCTTTGGAAGCTCCACATGAGACCCCTGGGATGGCAGAGGCTGGAAAACAAAAATAAACAAGGAGTGTCACACCTCTCTTCCCTCCCTCCCCTCCCCCACCCTGCTACAGCGGTGACCTGCAGCCAGCCAAGAGAAAAGGGTCATGCCATTTTGTTTGTTTGTGTTTTTGCTTAATTGTTAAATTAAGAACAAAAGTCACTGTGCACTAACTTCTCATGCAGGACCTCTGTCCCCTAGGAGTTGTATCTTGAAACTCAATAGTAAAACTTGTTCTCAAGAATCAGTTCCTTTTAGTGTATTAAGTGGAGGATATTATTATGTCTCATAAGTTATAGCTATGTCTAAGAGCTCACAAAAGATATACAACTCTTGGGTTCTTCTTTAAAGATAATTAAGTTTCTAAAAGGAAAGAAGGGGGAAGAAGGAAGAGAAAAGAGGAAGGGAACGAAGAGCAAAATCACCTTTGAGAAACACCAGCTTTGAACAACCCTTGTCTGGACTGTTGAGGAACAGATTTCTTAGTTTTTTCATTTTACTTTTTTTTTTCCTTTTTTCTCAGACTAGAGAGGAGAGGGAAGAGGAGGAGGGGTGGGAGGGCAGATAAAGTGGGAAGATTTGCTATGTTCTAAATGTTGTATTTATGAGATACATATAAATAAATAAATACAAGAAGGTGTGGTGTCCAATGTTCCCAATGTCCTCTGCAGTTCATGACAATGCTGTGTGCACTGGGATGCTTCAGGGTTAGTATGCTGCGCTTGCTCTGAGCCTCATAGCCCTCATGAGTCCTTTTTACCCAGCCCACCATCATGCCCTGATGCCAGGGAAGTGGGTGCTAGACCATGGTGGGGAACACAACACGGTGATGTCCTCCCTACAAAAGCCAGTTCTGTATAAGCCAGAGCCATTGTCGATGACCAGCTTGGCGATTTCTTCTTCTGTTGTATTGCTGGCAGAACCAGTAACAGAGAGGCAGAAAAACACGGTGCACACTCATGGTGGTGAGTGAGTGACAGATTTCTGAACAGAAAACTTAAAGGTGAAGAGAGAACGTAGTCTAAGTTCTAAGAGATATAGTCCAAGTTCTAAGAAAACAAACAAAAAACCCTGTCAAGCTTGAGTCCCCAGTGAAGTTGAATGAAATAAAAACCTTCCACGATGAGCAAATATTACAAGTGATAATATAGAAATAGAGAAAGCCAATCTCCATCATGAGAGTGTGAATGTAAGAAATCAATTAGCAAAACAGTAGCCAACTTCAAAACAAACAATAGGAAATTTAAAGGAAAAATGGCAGGACAAAGTCATTGCTTATTGATAATAACCTTGCAGACAAATATACTAAAATTTTAATTAAGAGATACAGATTAGTTAAATGGGTAAAGAAAAAAAAAAACAACTAGGTGCTGCCTAGAAGAAACACATTTCATCAGTGAAGACACACAGACTGAAAGTGAAAGGATATAAGGTTACATTCCTGGCCAGCGCCGCGGCTCACTAGGCTAATCCTCCGCCTTGCGGCGCCAGCACACCGGGTTCTAGTCCCGGTCGGGGCGCCGGATTCTGTCCCGGTTGCCCCTCTTCCAGGCCAGCTCTCTGCTATGGCCTGGGAGTGCAGTGGAGGATGGCCCAAGTGCTCGGGCCCTGCACCCCATGGGATACCAGGAGAAGCACCTGGCTCCTGCCATCGGATCAGCGCGGTGCGCCGGCAGCGGCGCGCCGGCCACGGTGGCCATTGGAGGGTGAACCAACGGCAAAGGAAGACCTTTCTCTCTCTCTCTCTCTCTCTTTCTCTCTCACTGTCCACTCTGCCTGCAAATAGAAATAAAAAGTGAGCTAAAGTAGTTATATTAGGCAAAACAGACCTTAAGAGAAAAGCTGTTAAAAGAGATGAAGGTAACTATATAATGATCAAAGATCAATTCAACAAGAGGAGTATTGTAAATTTGTATGCACTTAATACCAGAGCACTCAGTTTTTTAAAAAAGGTTTATTCATTTATTTGAAAGGTAGAGTAATTGAGAGGCAGAGGCAGAGAGAGAGAGAGAGAGAGAGAGAGAGAGAGAAGTCTTCCGTCACTCCCCAGGTGGCCCCAATGGCCAGAACTGCATCTATCTGAAGCCAGGAGCCAGGAGCCTCTTCCAGGTCTCTCATGTGGGTGCAGGGACCCGAGGACTTGGGCCATCTTCTACTGCTTTCCCAGGCCATAGCAGAGAGCTAGATTGGAAGTGGAGCACCCAGGTCTCAAACCGGCACCCTTATGGGATGCCAGCACTGCAGGCAGCAGCTTTTACCCCCTACACCACAGCGCCTGCTCCGAGCACTCAGTTTTATAAAACAAATGCTAATAGGTTCAAACAGAGACATTAACTGAATTAAAATAATACTTGTGAATTTTTAACACCCACTTTCAATAATGAACACACCAAGTAGACAATCAACAATGAAACAACGAGTTAACCTACACTGTAGACCAAATGGACTTAATGGTTTGTTATAAAACATTCTATCCCAGAGCTATAGAATACACACTCTTCTCATTGGCACATGGTTTGATCTCTGGGATAGCACATACCCTAGGCCATAAAACAAGCCTCAAAGAATTAAAAAAAAAAATGGAGGGACCACTGCTGTGGCGTAGCGGGTAAAGCTGCCGCCTGCAGTTGCTGGCATTCCATGTGGGCGCCAGTTTGGGTCCTGGCTGCTCCACTTCTGACCCAGATCTCTGCTATGGCCTGGGAGGGCAGTGGAAGATGGCCCAAGTGCTTGGGCCCCTGCACTGTGTGGGAGACCCAGAAGCAACTCCTGGCCCCTGGCTTCGGATCAGCACAACTCCGACTGCTGTGGCCAATTGGGGAGTGAACCGGCAGTTGAAAACCTCTCTCTCTCTCTGCCTCTTCTTCTCTCTCTGTGTATCTCTGACTTTCAAATAAGTAAATAAATCTTTTAAAAAAATGGAAATAATGTGTTTTCTTTTATGACCACAATGGAATGAAGCTGGAAATTAATAACCAAAAAAACAAAAAAACAAAAAAACAACTAGAAGTTACACAAACACACAGAGAATGAAATACATGCTTCTGAATGAATGGTGGGTCATTGAAGAAATCAAAAGGAAAATCAGAAAATTCCATGAAGCCAATTAAAATGAAACACAACATAATAAACCATAAAATTCAACAGAAGCAATGTTAAGAAGAAAGTTTGAGGCAATAAGTGCCTATATAAAACAATGGAAATTATCAGATCAATAATGTTAAAGAATATTAAATCTAAAAAAAGTTTTTTAAATATGTACATTGCATTGTTGTTATCTATGGCTACCAATTGTTCAGTAGAACATCAGAACTTGTTTCCTCTATGACAGAGTGCCCACCAATCAACCTTTCCCAGAGCCTTTCTCCTTGCCTCCTGTTCTCTCGAGCATCTGGTAGTCACTATTCTACTCTCAGCTTCTATGAGATCAACGTTGTATGCTCCTCATGAGTAAGATGATGTGGTATTTGTCGTTCTGTAACCGGCTTATTCAATTTAATGTGATGATCTCTAGTTACATCCATATTGTTGCATAATATTCATTTCTTGGATGAAGAGTATTTCATTATGTATAGGTAACAAATTTTCTTTATCCATTCATGAATGAATGAACACCTAGGTTGTTTCCATTTGGTGACTATCGTAAATAGTGCTGTAATAAATATGGGAGTGTAGATGCCTCTTTAACAGACTGATTTTATTTTCTTTGCATATATACCATAAAGAGATTGTTTAGATCATGTGATAGTTCTATTTTTAATTTTTTAAGACACATTAATATTGCTTTCCACAGTGGCTATACAAATTCATATTCCCATGAACAAATGTTCAATATTCACTTTATTTTGCATCCTGGTAGAGTTTATTATTATGTATGTTTTTGACTAATAGTCATTCTAATGGGGATGAGGATAATCTACTATCTCATTTGATTTTGATTTGTATTTCGTGATGGTAAATGATATTGAACATTTTTTCATGCACTTGTTCATTGGTTTTATTCTGTTCTTTGAAAGTAGCTTTATTTTTCTCATTGTTACAACTTGTACAACTATGGGCTACTGAATTATTGCTATAAAAACAGATTTCAAAATCATACTCAAATTATA